GACCATCATAAGAATCAACCAGTTCCAGGTCACCTGTCAACATATCCCACCTGTGAAGATTATTAGAGAGAAGTCACATACCAAATAGAAAGACTTCAGAATAAGATCAAGCAACTTACTCATATCTCTGATGCCGATCAAGATTTAAAATTACTTCGAAAACTGTGTCTGCACTTGAATCAATAACACCGACAGACTTTACAAGAACTCCTCTGTCACTCTTCAAAAGGGTAAAATTTATTAAAGTTGAGTAATAAGAATAATGAAATTTATTAAAGTCACTAAGAATAATGAAATTTCAGTGAGACAAAAGGAACTTATGGAATAATAGTAAGACAGCTGTGCGACAGATATGCGCTCAAATAGTTCGTAATAAACTGATTATTAGGCATAGACAAGTGACATCAGCATGCAGTGTCAAAATAAAGCAACTTAAGAAGACATTTTTATTACTAACAAAATGTAAGACAAAACAAGCATATTTGAAGAAGATTGTATGGTTGTTCTGTGCCTTGTAAAATTTATACATAGAGGGAAAAGTAATATAAGTTAAGTTTATCCAATAACGTGCATACATTTATTGTTCTAAAGGTTCACCACATAAATCAAGTGAAATCCTGTTTCAAATATCATAAAATTGTTAGACATGGATGGACATGGCTGCCATTCCTTAATCATCCAGCACCTCTTTTTTTCCATATGGGAATATATGTAATGTGTAGCTTCAATAGGATAACTGAGCTATTTTTCAAAATGATCTCACTGGACAAATCAGACATATAGCCATATAGTTCAAGATATAAGTACATGTCCTCTGCAACCTTGTAATTTGTGTGAGTAGTTCTCTCTTAAAGCAAATCATTTTTTACAAAATGAAATCTTATATGGAAGACATAAATTCAGGATCCAGATAAGAACTGGCCAGATAAGCTTCCAAACTGAAGGCATATCATTCTTTTGTTTTTTAAATAAAGAAATATTGTTAAGAGAAAAAAATGAATGATAAGACATCCTCATACAAGAGAAACAAAAAGGAAAACCAGAACATGAAAAGAAAAGAGAAAGGCCTCAACAAAGAATAGCCTACCAATTCCTTCCCAAACTAGAGGACTAGATAATGGCAAAACTTAGTGTCCATCAACATATTAATCTTAGACCTGATAAAAAAAATATCTCCAGGTAAAAAAGAAAAAACACAAAACAAGATTGCGTCAAAAGTAAATGGATACAGCTAGGGAAGGGCTAAAACTGAGGTCTTAGGTAATGTGTGGGTTGTAGGGTTGGAGATCTTCCTATTTCCTTACTTGCACCTTCCTTTGGTTTCAAATTCAAGGAGACTGGTATCCAATTTAATAAATTCAGGAAGAACTTAGCCAGGAGGGAGAAACACAATCTCCATAATGGAGGCATATTGATGCTCACTAACTATCTCTCTTTTTCTAAGAGCATCCCTATTGACTTAATTACCCTTTTTGGATGCTTTTTGCATTAATTAAGATAATGGAAGGTAAATCAAGAAGCTTTCTCTTTTTTTTTTTTTTGTAACTACAAAAATAAGCTTTTGAGTTGTGCTTCAATATTAGGGATATTATTATTCACAAGAAGCTCTCCTTAGAGAGTAGGGGGTTAGGTACTTCTGGCCTTCTGTGGTTTTAACTTTTTAACAGAAAACCATGCTCATTAAGAAGTATCAGATAGACTAAATGAAGTATTAAAATACACAAAACTCAATATCTACTCCTCACTCATGATTGGTTCAAAACTTCTAAAAATGTTTCGATGGATGATAATGCAGAATATCTAAACAGTCAACTCCAATCCCTCAAGCAACCTGGTCAAGGTACCGGTGGCCATGGTACATAATT